GCCTGCTGGAGCCTGGTGCGTGACCCATTCTTGACCTACCAGAGCCTTCTCGGATCCGGGAAGGGCAGAGGTTCCAGGCTTACAGTGGTGCCACAGGGTGCTGCACAATGGCCAGGCATCTCTGCAGAATGAGCGACTTGCTTTTGGATGGAAGGCCCCAGCCCTTTGGAAATATTAAGGCCTCTCCCAGCAAATCAGGAGCCAGAGCCTTGGGCCCAGGCCAAGGAGCACATGCAGGAAGCCAGGGCAGACCTGGGGACAGTGTTTCATTTCCTGGGGGCTGAAGCTCGTGGGGCTCCAGGGTTGGTGCAAGAGGCAGTCTTCTGGGTTGGGGACGTTAGGGGCGCTGGCCGGGACCGGAGAGTGGGCGGGCCCCTCCTTGGGCCCCCAAACCTCCCAGCTGAGGGAGGTGTGCCTAGGGCTGAAGGCTGGTGAGACCTAAATACCCCCAAGGGGGCAGTTCATGGGGTCCAGCCGAGGAAGCTGGACCTCGTGGGAGCCTGTAGCTACATCAGAACCTTGAAAGTGATGAGGAGAAATTTGTATTTTAGACCCAAATGAGGTTTCTACGTGTGATGATGTCTTCTGGGCAGTTTAACATGTCCGTCTGGGTGATGGTCTCCGGCATGGCCACGTGGATGGGCGGAGTATTTTCTTGGTCAGCATCTTTAGTATGAAGCCCTGGACCCAGCTTCAGTTGAACATTTGCTTAGGGCAGCCCGAGTGGGGTCACAGTGTACATTATGTATGGAACCAAACTACTGATGCCCGGGACCAGTGAGGACTCATGTTCTGGGGATGGAAGGACTGTTTCTGCAGGTTCCTACCTCGAGTGCCAGCTTGTCCACACCCTTGTGAGCCTAAAATTGTGTGAGCCTGGCCTGATCGCCGCTGGAGGCCACACGTCCCGGGAGTTGATGATGCTATCTCTGCCGTGTCTGGTTGCGGCGATGCTGTCCTGTCTGGATCTGGACACATGCGTACGTAGGACGGAAGACAAGGGGGTGGCTGTGACGCAGTGTGAGGCCTGCCGGTCCCACCATGACCTCAGTTGTAGTCAGTGTCTGCGGCGCTCACAGGGACGCCTTCTGGCTCAGCTGGGACGTTTCAGAGTGGTCCTCATCAGCCTCATGCAAGGAGGTGGCGGGATCTGCCCTTCTACCTCCTGCTGCCCTGGGAGACCCTCTCCGAAAGTGGAGGATCACTTCCTGGGCTCACCTCTCAGGAAGGAGGTGGTAAGCTTGTCACCTGCACATCTGTCCGTGTTTTTTTTTTTTTTTTTGCGGTACGCGGGCCTCTCACTGTTGTGGCCTCTCCCGTTGCGGAGCACAGGCTCCGGACGCGCAGGCTCAGCGGCCATGGCTC